GAGCAGCACACAGAGACAATCAATTGTGAATATAAGGGATTTAATAAATGAAACTATAGCTAACATACAACTAAATTAAACAAAACACATATATACAGAACGAAGGAAAGTAGTGTTGCTTTCGTCAACGAAAATTATGACTAAATATAGTCGTCAACGAACCTTTATCACGTGACGAAAACGAGACGAGACGAAAATGCTGGTCATGTGATGCTTTTGTCAACGAAAATTATGACTAAATATCGTCGTCAACGAACCTTTATCACGTGACGAAAACGAGACGAGACGCAACGTAAATGCTGGTCATGTGACGATGACTATAATTAAATGTATAATGCAATATTGTTGACGAATAAAAACGAGACTAAATGTGGTTTACAAAATAAAAACTATGCTAAAATGTCTATTCATTTTCGTTGACCAAAACGAGACGAAATGAAATGTTATAACGTTATTTCGTCTCGTTATTATTATTATTTTGCAGTATTTCTGTTTCCTGTGTCTCGCTTCAGGGGCTGCATCAGGTCACACTGCGCAGACGCCCCACTCGCGGCATTATTTAGAACAGTGTTTCCCAACCGGGGTCTGTCGAGAGCAGGGGTGCAGTGTAAAAAATATTTTTTTTATATTTTTAAATTGCTAAAATGTTCAAAAAAGCAGCTATTATATAATATCCATTTCTAATGCTGCCAATAATTAGAGATGCACAGAAATTCCGGCTGCCGAAAATTAGTTCACCGCTCAGGATTCACTTGTATGTATGTGTGTGTGTGTGTGTGTGCGTGTGTTATCCCGCTCTATGCGCGCGTGTGCTCCGCTCAGTCGCTCGCGGCCCATGTGAGTGCTCATCGGAACAGCAAAGTCCTCTCAGAAATCAAGCTGACAGGAAACATCGATGTAGTACAGTATTGTTTTAAATAGAATTGCATTTCTAAAAAGAGACTAAAATACAATTTTCATTGACTAAAACTAGACTAAATGTCATAAGTTTTCGTCGACTAAAATTAGACTAAAATGCTCAGACTTTTAGTCGACTAAAACTTGACTAGATTAAAATGAGTATGAATGTGACTAAAACTAATAAAAACTAAAATGACAGTTTCACACAAAGACTAGACTAAAACTAAAATTAAAACAGGCCGCCAAAAACAACACTAGAAGAGAGAGAGAAGAGCAAAAGAATGGCAGTATTTCACATCAATTAACCACAACCTGATGAGAATCATCAGAGAATCAAAAATCTCCTTAAAAAGGGGCTCAAACTTAAACACGCATCTAAATAGTTGTAAACTGTTACTTGCATTGGCTTTGTTGCTGAACAAGAGTCCTGATGCAGTACACACGGAGGTTCTTGATGAGTTCTTTAGGAGTGAACTGGAAGGTTTCCTCTGGTTAGAAAATCAAACTCAAGAGGTTTTGAGCCATGATTAGTCTGAGTTAATTACTTTTAATAGTTCCTAGACACACCCACCTCTTGGGTGGAATTGCCAATAGCAGGCGTGAATTTTGAGCTGGAGAAGTTTTCTTTGTCTCCGTTTATGGCCCATTTGCATGTTTATGGCTGGGCTGGAGGACTGGGGCAGTTTTACCCAAAATATAGTACAAATAGTATGATGCATTTTACGATCACATACCGTACATCATTGTTTGAGGAATAAAGAGCAGATCATTTTGATACCAAAAAAGAAACATCTAGAAGATATTAAACCAGAGATACATTTAGTCATTTAGCAGATGCTTTTATCCAAAGCGACTTACAATTGGGGGATACATAAAGCGATTCTTCTTAAGAGAGGCAAACAGACACAAGAAGTGGTTGTAATACCAAGTTCTTAGACATTGTTCAAATAAGTACAAGCTAGAAAGAGAAGGAATAAATAAAGAGAGTTTTTTTATTTTTTATTATTTTTTTTATGATGAAGTCAAGTAGCTTCGAAAGAGATGAGTTTTCAGCTGTCGCTTGAAAATTGTCAGGGATTCAGCATTCCGGATACATTCATACACCTGAATATAAGCATTTAGAGGTTAACTAATACAAATAACGAGTGGTAACTGGGCTAATATAATAGGGAAACATACAAACAACACATGCATATATCAGATACATTTGTAACTGATTGATTATAGTCTAAATAAAGAAAATGTCTTTATGTGTGTGTGGTGTGTGTTATGTGTATTGTGAGCATGGTGTAGTTCGCTGGCCATCAGACATCTGGTGCCAGGTACTGGGAATGATGCAGTGGTCGAATTGTATAAAAAAATTTCAGGGGGGATGGTGTGGTCAATTTCTTTTCCGGGGGCGGGGGGCGGGGGTTATATATAATGATTACAAAATTTGTCTAATTTTTAAAAAGGTTTTTATTTAATGAAAAATTAGCCTTATTAACTCAACTTATTTATAAGCTTTTTTTCCCTTCTTGGCCCTGAAATGGAGGAATTTTGGTCAATATTGATAATTAAACAATATTTTGCTAAATGTGCTTTTGTGCTGAAACCTTTGCTGGTTTAAGCCTGTCCTGGATAAATAATGATGACAATAAAACCACCAGTAGGTGGCAGCAAGCACCTATTTTGATGAATGATTGATTGAATCGTTCAAATCAAATGATTCGTTCAGAACAGCTGATTCAATTAGAAACTAAACAAGCCTGCGTCCCAATGTGCATACTATCCATCCTAAATTCTATGTGATATTAAAGGGGTCATATGATGTTGCTAAAAAGAACATTATTTTGTGTATTTGGTGTAATGAAATGTGTTTATGTGGTTTAAGGTTCTAAAACACATTATTTTCCACATACTGTACAATATTACATGGTGGGCCTGAGTGAGCGGCGGCGGCGGGCGGGCTTGAGAACGGCGCGGCCAGCGGGCTTGCGGCAACCACATGTGACGACCCCGGGCTGGACTCCGCTTCGTCCACGGTGAAAGCCGATCCGGCGATCCACAGCGCGAAGTTGATGTATTTCCTCAGCGACCAGCACGGATCAGCTCTAGCCATGACGAAGCGGATATCATCCTCTTTTGGAAGACCAAACAAAGTAGTTTCACTTTCACAACGAAACACATATAACACAAACACACACAGCGTCTTTACGACATGACGGCAGCAACAATACTACAGCGAGAATAAAAGTTATGCCTTTGGGCGGCGTTATGCAAATCTTCCCACATCGTGACGTAGACATGTGGGAGCGTGTTAGAACGAGCCATTTTAGGTAGGTGTGGTTGACTCTTAACTTTTATAAAGAATATCTCTTTGGATTTGAGACTTTAGTCTTTGCAACTTTACAGATCTTCTTTATGCACCAAGAGCTTGTAACACTCCAAAGAGAAAGGAAAAATTGAAATCGCTTCATATGACCCCTTTAATTTTCAATACTATTTAGGGCAGATAGGCTGGATAGTATGCACACTGGGACACAGGGAAAGTACCCATCTGAATGGGCCATTGAATCACTGGCTCACTTGATTCATTCAAAAACTGATTCATTCAAGGAACGAAACACCGTGTTACTATGCACTGTTGTATAAAATTAATAGCACATTTGTGCTCACGCATGTAGGCCTACAGATATTCAGAAAAGTACATTGCTTGTGCAATGAGTATAAAAACATAAAAACTCATACATGGGTATTTTTTCTTTACTTGCTTAAATTATAAGGTTATTTTACCTGTATTCTAATAGGCTTCGTCGCACAGTGAATGCTTTTGGACTCTCAAGACGTGTTCTTGTTTGGTTTTTGCAAAGTCAATGACTCGATAATGTCAGCTCTCCTATCATCTCTCAATCCCTCACAGTCACACATACAGCACAATAACATTATGTCAGGGGAATGTTTTTAAATTCTAATTAAGAAAAAATCATACCATTTCTGTTGTCTTCTTTTTAAAGAAATTCAAAAGTTGCACGAGAACCGTTTTGCGCGAAAAATGACGAAAACTTGTGTCCGCTTGTGCGCAGCTTGTTACAGAACCGAATTGGCCAATCGCCATAACTCGTGAATTATCTTAAGTAGATCATTTTAACATTTCATTTGCATGATAAGTTTGACATAATACACATTATTAATCCAAAGGGGATGGTGGTTTTACTGAGGGGATGCTTTTTGTCATTTTTTTCAACCAGGGGGATGCCATCCTCACTCAATTTGAGCCCTGCTCCTAGGACACTGGAATGTGTTTGAAGTCGATGGGGAGACCAGAGAGTTGATCTGTTTAGTATCTTCTTGATAATGGGGGGAAAACCATTGGCAATTTAGCACTCATATAACTGTAGAATATGGGGCCAGGTCTGTAAGTTACATATATGCAAATGTCAAAAGGCTAAAAGGGTCTCTAAGACATAAAGCCCCAATGATCATCCATGATCCTAAGCAGATGCTACATTACCTGTTTTCCTAAAGCCACTGGATGGCGGTGGCACGGGCCCTATCACCGCTGCAATTAATTTAATTTTTTAACTTTGTTATATTAAATTATCTATGCTTGTAATTTCTGTATTTGTTTCTTTTTTTATTACTCACTGTTCACTTGTCATTAATGTTTGAACTTTATTAGTTAGACTAGTTTTGTTGTGGCATTGAAGTTAGTGTTTTTTAAGTAAAAAATGGAAAGCAAAGTTACATTTCACCCCACTTTTTTTTTTTTTTTACTAATCCGAAAAATTACCCAATCTATGACTCAAAAACTGAAAAAGAAAACTTAGAAGGTGTGAAGACTGAGGAGTAATAATATTCCTTTTTTTTTGCCCAAATGTGCCAAAACACATGCAGTTAGCTTAAATAAATAAAAAAATTTAATCTGGTGGGAACAAGAAACTAACTGTTTAGAGATCTGAACATCTGTTTTGAGGGGGAAAAAAATCTTATTCAAGAAGTAAGCCAAAGCGATTGGGGAAAAACCATAATGTATATAGAACAGATATTTCCGGATTATCAGTACAATATAATTTTGGATGTATATGTGTAAAATTGACTTTGTTTTCTATTTGTTGCAGGTGACACCCAACATCTCTCAGAGCTGAGGATTGTGTTAATGGGGTATAAACTTTCTGGTAAGAGTTCAGCAGGAAACACCATCCTGGGCAGAGAGGAGTTTGATTTGAAGAGATCTGCTCAGTGTGTGAGGAGACATGGAGAAGTAGCAGACAGACACATCACTGTCATTGAAGCTCCAGGATGGTGGATTAATGAACCTGTAGCGTTCAGTCCTGAGCTACTGAAACAGGAGATTGTGCTTAGTGTGTCTCTGTGTCCTCCAGGACCACACGCTGTACTACTGATCATACCTGTGGAAACTAGATTTAAAGATTATCTAAGAAAAGCATTGCAGGGGCATCAGGATCTTCTCGGTGAGAGAGTCTGGAGTCACACTATAGTGCTGTTCACTCATGGAGACTCTCTGTTAGACACATCTATAGAGCAGCACATTGAGAGTGAAGGGCAGGATCTCCAGCGGCTGCTGGACAAATGTGGGAACAGATATCATGTTCTCAACAATCAGAACAGGAGTGACCACACTCAGATCGAGGAGCTGCTGGAGAAGATTGAGGAGACAGTGGCACAAAACAACGGCTGCCATTTTGAAATAGACAGAAAGATTTTACAAAGAATCAATAATAAAAGAAGAGCAAAAGAACGAATGCAGCAAGAGAGAGTGCACATTAGATCACAAACAAGTGAGTGAAATCATGAAATTGTATAAGGATCTACACATAATCTCAGATGTGTTTCCTTTCATTGTTTGTTTAGTGCTCTTCAGTCAAGTTTTAAATAGTTTAGTGTCTCCATCACTATATTATACAGGTGTATTAGGACAAACATAAACGGTATATTCAGCACTAACACTTATTACAGTGCAAATTTAGATTTTCTCAGATGGACTCCCATCCAGATACAACTCTCAAGAAGGGTGATATCTACTGACTTTAGAGAACACTACAAAAATCAGCTATGTTAATATTGTTGACATAATAGATACACTCCATTCATATGTAAGTTTTTTTAAAGGGGTCATGACGTTGCTAAAAAAGAACATTATGTTGTGTGTTTGGTGTAATGCTATGTGTTTATGCGGTTTAAGGTTAATAAAACACATTATTTTTCACATAATGTACATTATTGTTGCTCCTCTATGCGCCGCCTTTCTAAAATGCATCGATTTTTACAAAGCTCATCGTTCTGAAAAGCGAGGTGTACGCTGATTGGCCAGCTATCCAGTGTGTTGTGATTGGCTGAATGCCTCAAGCGTGTGACGGAAATGTTACACCCCTTAACATACTGTGATGCTCTGTGTCCCGACGCGACAAGACAAAACCAATAAAACCCATTACAAGCGAGGCATTTGATGCATCCAGTGGGGACATAATTACTGATTATAATGACTTATACTGTCTTTTTACGCGTTGCGTTGCGTATCACGCTGCGTAAACATAAGACCATGTCTGGAGAAACGACAAACAAGCGCTACTCTACACTGCTCAGAACTCACGTTTGAATCGTCAGTGGCAAATTCTTTAAATATAAAAAACGTACTTACAGGCTGTGAGTCAGAAGCACCAGCCTGTCCTTGCAAAGTTTGAACTGCCCCACTTTATAAAAACAGACACCGGCATTGTAGGCTACTCTCACAGGAAACAGTCCTCAGCCTCCGCAAAATGCGCTGCACACATCTGAATATTTTGGTTGAACTGTTCTGGAACAGTGTTGTAAATTCAA